TCGGTGTTTGCCGGCCCGGGCAGGGCTGGGGCCGCTCTCGGTGCGAGATCGGTTCGTTTTCTTCCTTTCAGATGACTTAAGGCTGAGTGGGAGGAACCGGAGCCTCCGGAGAGAGGCCTGGCCTGAAGCCTGGGCCCTGCTGCTGTCAAAACTTTCTGGTTTAATTACTGAGGCTGCAGGTTTGCTCCGTGCACCAACAGTGCCCAAAACGCAGGCGGGGTGAGCGGCGTGCGTTCGGCTGCCCGTACCGGTGACGGCGCTGAGCCGTGAGCATCGCTGCGGTCAGACGTTATTTTGTCACTTTTGGTTTTTAGGAGACGTAGCTGCGGGGGTGTCTTTGTCTTGGATGTCTTAGTCTTTTTGTCTTTGAGAATCTGCTTGTTGAAAGCTTAAACTTCCAAATGCAGATCTGCTTGACGGTGTTTGTGTAGGTCTGTGGGAACATGGCAGTCGTTTGACCGTCGCGATGGGAGAAGGATAATTTCCTTCCATGAAGCGCTTAAGCCATATCTGTCTTGAACCGCATTTATAAACTAGGAAATGTAAAAAGAAAAATAACTTCAGCGTCTTTCAGGTAGTGGGCGTGAGGTGGTCAGTAGTTTTATTTCAGGGGTGCGTTTGGAGGTGTTTAGGCTTGTTGCTCGGCGCGGAGCGCCGGTGGCCGCCGCTGGCTGGAAGGAGCTCGCTCTCTTTGGCCTCTGCCTCCGAGCTGCTCTCTCGGTGACGCAGGTCTGTGCGGGTACAGGAGCGCGGTACATGGAGCCAGGGATGATCCCACTGCCTGTGGCCGGCGTGAACGGATCTCTGCGGTTTCCTCGCTGTAGCCCTGGTACTCAACTTGTGAGGATATGGGTGTACTTGCTGTGTAGTGGATGGACATCTGTAGAAATGGATTTACAGGGCTTGAGGGTGTTTTGTTTCCTTGTTTTTTCTTTTGTGTGTGTGTTTATTTTGTTTTTGCCTGGCCAGGTTATGCATTGGAGCACATAAACATTCAGAAGGAACAGTATGGGTGAGTCCAGCTGAGACTCGTGTCTGGTATTGGGGATGTTCAGGGTAGGTCTTGGTGCTCCTTCTGAGTAAGATTTGTTTGGCTATCAGAGTGTTTTCTTACTGCTTGCCAAGAGGAAACCTAATCAGACAAGCATCTATCTCCCAGCAACTTGCATAATCTTTTGTGTGTAAATTATCATATTTTAAACCCACATGACTTTGCTTGAAAAACTGGAAAAGAACATAAGCTACCCACTGTAGAACTTCACTGCAGGAATCTGGTGGTCTAGCACTTCATCGTGTGTTTCTCTTTGAGATCCTGGTTCTGTGAGCCAAGGGCATCACTGCCGGTGGCAGGGATGCTTTCCTGGTAGGTGACCTCGGGGGCAGAGGCAGTGCTAGGTGACCTTGCACAAAGTCACCTCATTCAGTGGTGAAGTGTCCTGAGCTCTAACAGGTGAAAAAAATCAGCATTTACAAGCTGCCCGAAGCAGAACAAGAGACTGTGGCTCTAAAGCTGTCTCCTAATACGCCTCCTCACTCTCATTGTGTGATGGGAAAGGATCTCTTCACAAACACAGTTCTTCTCGCCTGTCTTTTGGCCAGAACCTCAGACACAGTGGGTGCATGAGATGTCTAAGCCTGAACAGCATCTTAGAGCCATTGATGGACCAGAAATAGAACGATCTCATACTAGATTATCCACTTAGAGAGACCTACAGTTGCGTAGCTGCACTTCCAGCTTGCAGGACTGATTGTAAATCCACTAAAAATAGATCTTTATTTAACACTAGTCTTACACATGCTCCCTGTCAAAATGCTTTTAATTTTCCTTTCTGACACGCACTATTGTATTTTGTATTCCTCTCGATGTTTCTGAGAATCACAGGCAAAAGTGCTTTTCAGTGTTGCTGCTCCTACAGAGCTAATACATGCACGTTCCATAAAATAAGCGTTTAAAGATTCATTTGAACACCCAGAGCCATAGGACTATTCAACAAGTGCTGTCCGAGCTACAAGTCTAGTAAATTAATTGGGGGAGTGATGTAAACTTCCATAATTAGGGACATAGGAACCCTTGACTATCAGTATTATAAATAGTGGAGGGGGAAAAAAAAATCTTTTTGGGGGTAAGGAATAGATGACATTGTTTAAGTTGTAGGTCCTGATGGAAAGTTGACGTGGCATGGGCAGTCAGGTTGGAGAGGACAGAGGGCCCGCGCTGGAGAGCGGGCTGTGGTGGCTAAGGCTGCAGGATCTTCTCTCCCCCAGTTCTTCCATTAAGCAGTCTGTACACTTAATATAGCTGTTGATTGGAAATTGTTCCCCTGAGCGTGGATTCTTTTATCTTTATGTAAATGCTCATTCATGCTCAGTTTTAGGCTGTGTATTTTGCTTGCTCTGTCTACCCCTTGAGAGAGGTTTTATAAGCTGCAAAGAATTTCCTTGTTTTTCAGGACAGGCATGTTCCATTTTGTGAATCTTGCGCTCGGCTCGGGAGTGATGTGTTTCCCTTGTCAGCTGTCTGCTCCCTTGGAGTGACGGGGGGTGACGGTTCATGAGGAAGGCATGGAAACGTTGTAACCTATGGAGGTTTTTTGATGAGTGAAGGAAGAAGGGTGATGGAGCTGTATTGACTCGGAATTTAAATTGTTTACTCTCTCTGAATATGGCTTATCACTTTCTTTGATCTTTTCTTTAAACTCCTTGTGTTTTCATTGTGGTTTATCTCAGGTTACGTAGTTCTCAAACTTCCATGCCCTACCAGGTTAGCGCCACCGATGCTTATGGTCTTCAAGCATCTGAAAAATACATGTTGGGCGGATATGATCTAAGAAATTCGTTTTACCACAAAGTATAGTTGAAGTGCAGAACTAGAGTGACATGGGTTGGGTTTTTCTCTACTTGGGGAGGTTGGAGATGGTATGGAGATGTGGATGGTGCCCTGCACAACATTTTTTTTGCAGATGTCCTGTTCGTGCGACTCCAAAAGGCAGACTGCAGGCTTTGTGCCGTGCCACGGTGCTGCAGTGACTCAGTTCTAGATGTTGCTGATGTAAATGGGGCGTTTGGGTTCCTCCATGGCTGCTCAGAAAGACGGCGTCGTGTTGCTGACTCCTCTAAAGCATGGTGGTAAATGAGATCAGGATTGTGCATCATTGTGGCCATTACATTAGGGGAAGTTAGACCACAGTTACGATGAAAAAGTTCCCGAGTGAATACCCGTTGCTGCTTTTCTCGGACGTTTCAGGCCATGTCCTGTGCCTGTATCGCAGTCTTTTTGCTCCATCAGACCCAGAGGTCCGTTGAATTCAGCGTCTTTTGCATTCGGCGAGCAGCGCTGTCTGCTTCAATGGAAGGTGCAGGAGACGGCGCATGTTAGGCAGCTGTAGGGTAATCTGCTCCCAAAGAAACATCGTGGTTTACATCTACTGCAGCTTATTTTTGTTCATTGTTTCCGGTTTATGTGGGTAATCTTCTTATCCACAGAAATGTCCGGTCCTCTTTTTGAATCCCTGAGTTCTTGCTTTTAGACATTTTGGAGCAGTAAGTGCCACAGGCTTTAGGAGAAAAAATGTAATAGCGTCTTTAGTTCTTCGCATGTAAGTGTCAATTCTATTCTTCATATAATATATGAAAGGATGAGTTGTTATTTATTGTATTGCCTTTTTAATATCTGATTTTACTCATTTTCTTTCAAAGGCAAGCAGTCTAAATCTTTTTAGTGTCTCTAGCCATAATTTTTTTCCACATCCTTTACTGTTGTTGTTGTCCTTTTCTGAATTCTGTCCTTCTCTGACAAGAATTCTGACTCTTACCCGTGGTACCCTTCTTGAGATGGAGCGAAGATGAAATGAATGCAGTAATCCAAGGAAGGTACGCTGTTGAATTATATAGTTGTACAGTAATACTTTTATCGGCAGAAAAATACTGGATGCCTTATTGAGAGGGAGGAAGGTCTATGGCAGGGAGATCATTCTACATCATTAAAGGTCCCTAACCACTGTACAGTTTTGAAGGTTGTGTGTGGCAGCAGCTCGGTCTAATGTATACTGAAGTCTGTGGTAAAGCTTCCACTGGTTTCATGCTGTGGGGTCAAGGCCAAATTCTGCTGCTTTCTCTCCTTCACGTTTGTATTTCAGTTAATTAGGGACCAGATTAAGGTAAGACTTTTGTGATGCTTACCGTGATCTAATCTTGAGGTAGCCTGAAATTTTTAGTGTGTGTCTTTTGCAGATGAATAAAGTTTTAAGAGGCATGTTATTGGATCTGAACCCCAGCTTATGGAGTAGTTCTGTGAATGCAGAAGCAAATTTTGTAATGACACGTGGTGTTTCTGTCTTTTCAGGTGCTGGAAAATTACTCTGATGCTCCTATGACCCCAAAACAGATTCTGCAGGTCATAGAGGCTGAAGGACTAAAGGAAATGAGGTTAGTATTGATGATCTTGTCTAAAACAGTGTGGAGCATGGGGGAGGCTGCATATGAAGGCTTGTGTTGCTTCGTGCAATTCTGCCTCATCTCCAGCCCGCTTTTTCTTCTTTCTTTTTTCTCTTTCCAGCATGGTAATTTCAAATGACAGTATAGACATTTATACACAGGTTGTGGTTTTTTTTTTCTTTGACAATAACTGGAAGCTGTTCTTGGATTTTTTGATAGCATACAGAGTCCCCTTCATCTATCTATTGTAAAATAAATGCCTATTGCAGATCAGACTCCTGCATTGTGCTGTACTTACCACTTGTATGGTTCTCTCATGAGTAGCTCCCAGTAGTTTCTGCTGTTGTGACTCTTAGTTTGAGAACAGTTTTAAGTTTTGTCTCCTCTGATGCTTCATTTCTGGAGCAGACATGTTTTAGGAGACTCGAAAAAGTCTTCTTTATTTTATATTACTGTACTGACTTCTGCTCAGATTTTCGAGCACCATGATAGCACAGCTCACGCTGTTGTGGCTCTTGACATTGTGTGCAGGAGATGCCCATCTCAACGTGGGTTTCATATGGAAAAGAACCTGATATGGAGCCTCGGAAATGACAGGAGTGGGAGACTGTTTTCCTTGGTTAGGTTCCTGTGAACTTCCATCTGTTTCTGTGACAGTAGTAGAATAGAAATATGGAGTGTCTTGCAGATCAAAGAAAGTAGGTAACCATGATAGTCCAAATGCCTCAGCTAGTGCTGCGTGGAAAAAAAGGAAGTTTGACTACCAGAGACAGAAAAAGCAGTCTCCTTTGGCTGCTGCCCATTGATTGACTTCTGAGGAATCCAGATGCGTAGACTGTTTCTAGTCTTGCTTCCCCCTCACCTTGATTCTGTGGACTGTTTTCCATCGTGGTGTTTGCATTTCCTGAACCTTTACCCAGCTACAGAAGGTAAACTAATTTCTTCTGGGACCTGCCAACTCAAAATGTTAGCGTGTTTCGTCTCCTTATTTGTGTCTGAAATCAGGAAACAGCTGGGTTGGTTTGAATAGTGAAAATTGATGATGCGTACAGGGGTGTCGTGTGTAGGAGTTGCCATTGTTTGGAGAGGGACGATGCCGGCGTGTGTTGCTGCATCGATATCGGAGCTGTTAGAACGCCCACCAGCCGCTGGCGATCCTTGCCGAGGAGATCTTCACTGGTTTGGGTATGAGTGGTGGTTTCACAGCTCTGAGTAGCATTCAGACAGGCTTTTAATCAGGACCTTCATACAGCTTTGTTTTAATTGATACTCTGCACCTTTCTTACATCAGTCCTTTTACTTAAGCAGATAGTTGAAGATCTACGTGCATAGGCTGTCCTCTGCTAAAGGTAGTAACAGATCTGTCTTCACACACATAAATTATCTTGGTGCTTTCCCAGTTCTGACAAGTGACCTGTCACAGTGCGTAACTAAAGACCAGACATTGGAGCATGTGTCAAGTTAAATCCACAGAGCTAAATCGTTCCTTTAAAGGTCGGTGTTTTTCCCTTGGGATATCTGCTTTTCCTTCCCCGGTCATTAATTCTCTGCTTTAAGGAAAGTCTGTTTTCCTCAGAGCGTAATTGTTCACAGAATAAAGGCAGTGATCCTGCCTAGCTAAATATGCAGCGGACTTTGCTGCTACTTGTATAGAAGCCCTTCCTGAAACTCCGTTTCCTGAAGGAAATGGCTTGATGGCTCGAGATGTTTTTCCCTTTGAATCAATCCTGAGCCAGCGTTCCCTGGTTTGGGGTCACGCTGGTCTGTTGGGAGGGCCGTGTTCCTCACGGGTGGCATTAGTGGTCCTGCTCGAGCTCGAGTGGCTGGTGCTCGAGCGAGGACACTTGGGCTCAGTACCACTGCTGAGTTCCAGCTCCTAGGAGAGTTTTAATTGTTTGCTTGCTTTTTTCTCAATTTGGGGAAAACTATTTATTTTGCCTTTCTGAGGAAGTGTGCTCTGTGGCTGGTTAGCGTGCTTGGAGTGTCTGTTAAACATAGAAGGGAAAACACTGTAACAGGACAGAAGGCTGGAAATTTTTTTCATAGTGTCTAAAAGTGATACAGGGTAATTTTGTCTGCTGCCAAGGCTTGTAAAGAAATGTCCAAAAAACAATCGCATTCAGGGTGGAAACAGAACTGGTTTTAAGTTTTCAATTTGAGAATTATTTTCTTTGAAATACTTCGTCTCAATCCAGTTTTCAGTTTCACTTTAATAATAATGAAATCGATACTGCTTTAATGTCTCTTCCAGGTAACTTTCTGCATGTACGTGTGACGTGTTGGAAAACATGAGATTACGTGGCACAGAAGTCCCATCAGTGTGAGCGTAGGACGATTGCTTTAACCAGGGAGTTACGTAGGACTTGACAAATTAGTGCATCAGACCTTCTATATCTAACTCTGCTAGTGCAGTTTTGTCTGTGACATGTCAGGGAAGACGTTACAGAAACACGTATGTGTACGATTTATGCTGGTTTTGTTTACATCTTTCTACTGCTGAATAAATCTGGGTTTTTTGTAAAATCAATCCAATGCTGAAAGCTTCAAGGAGAGAAAGGGAGGAAACAGGTAATAAAAATTAGAAATGTCTAAAAATGGCCGAGTGTAACTTTAAAATTGGCATACTGTTTCCTGTTTTCTGCCGATTGCTTTGCTGTGGTGTGTGGAGGCTGATGCACAGGTCAAAAAGGAAAACAGTAGTACTGTTCTGACTGAAGTGCCCATCCCATAAAGTTAACGAGCATCATCTTTGTTCCCCTCAGTCAGCTAAATGATGCCCATTTAAATAGATCTTTTGGGCTGTTTTCTTGATAAGGCCATTTCTGAAAACTTACTGTTTTCTGCCTTTCTGTGTTTCAGTGGCACTTCTCCCCTCGCCTGCCTCAACGCCATGCTCCATTCCAATTCAAGGGGAGGTGACGGACTCTTTTATAAACTGCCTGGACGCATCAGCCTTTTCACGCTCAAGGTAAATGCCGAGTCCCTGCTCTCGACTGAGGGCCAAGGTGCGAGTTCTGCTTGTTATGCACAGCTGAGCGTTAAACTGTCACTGAGCATCATATGAGCTGAATGTGCTGCATGTGAGATCGTCATGTGGAACAGTGTCTGGAATTCGTTATTTCATTAGAGCTTGTACCTTTTAGCTATATTCAGTCATATATGATAAATTCCTTTTAAAACCCCCTATTATTTCTTGAATTGCACAAGCAAGATAAATCCTCTTATTCCAGTACTTAGTGTCCAACTCAGGTGGCTGCTTATCGAAACAGTCCCATTCACTCCTTTTCTGCCAGCCACGAGGGAACACAGCCAACCAGTAAATTAAATTGGTCCAAGAGCCTGTAGCTACAAGCAAAATCTTGATAGGAAAATGTATATTCATTCTTCTGGTTGTTTGTTTTGTGTTCCACTGCATTATGTGTATATTTAGCGTCGCCATTTTCTTCAGATCTTGAGGTATCTCTGGAACATTCTTTATTTTTAGTTTATTGTCCCAGTAATCTTAAATGTTGAAAATGTTTCTGGTCTTAGGCTTTTCTTTTGCACTGTTTTGTACTGTTGGATTCCCTGATAAATATCAGCTTGATAGACAACAGGTATCTGAGCTATTTCATTTGCATCTTTTTTTCTGCTGTCAGAGCACTTTGTTGAATTGCCATATTTTGCTGAAAACAGACGGAATTGAAATGGCTTTGATTATACAAGTAGTAAATACATCTCTTAAGCTTACTATCGTAGTAATTGGCCACTCTGATGCTATCTGTTCTTTTGTAGTAAGAATGAGATACTTCTCTTTAATAGAAACTGCTTGCTTGCAGAAAAGTGCATCGAATTATTAACCTTAGGTATTTTGGATACGTTTGAGTTACTTGTCTAGGAGGTGTCTATGAAGCGTGCTAATAGTTTAGATGACTTCTGTTCCACTGTGAGCCCAAATATACTTAAAAATATCTTTCCGCATCAAGGATTAAAATAGGGAAGATGAAAAAAATTAAGTTTAAAAACTATATCCACTAAACCGTCTGTTCCCATTGGTTTAAGTCGTAGTGGTTGGGAGGGAGGACTGTAGCCATCCCAGTTCTGTTTGCCCGTTTAGAAGGATGCCTTGCAGTGGTCTCGGAACCTGTCTGTGCCAGAAGGGGAGGAGCTGGAGGACACAGCAGACGCAGAAAGTTGCGAGTCCAATGAAGCGAGCACTGTGAGTGGTGATAATGATGGTAAGTGTCTAATGACATTAATCTCCAACCGTAGGATCTACTTCTGTGTCTGACTGAGTGCCCATCTCTTTCAGTGTCTCTTGATGAAACCTCCTCTAATGCCTCCTGTTCCACTGAGTCTCAGAGCAAGGGACCTGCTACTACCAGGGAGAGCTACAGAACCGCCTCCCAGGTAGGAAGAAGCAGGGCTAATGGGAAGCACGAAGCCTCTCAAGGGGAGCTGTCATTACTGCGTGGTGGTTGGGTGAGCATGACAGGGACTAGTTGTGCACAGGTGCCTCAGAGAGTTACGGGTCCGTCTCCTTAGGTGGGGAGTTTACAGTACGGGGAGGGGTCATGTACAGGGAGGTAATTTTGAATTCTCTGCTCTTCGTGTGTAATTATTATATGTAATGACACCTGAAGATTTACCTAGGAGCTAGGTAGTTCTTTAACTGGGAAACGTGCTGCTTAGAAGATTATTTAACTCCTCTGTAATGTCTTTGTTTCTTTGTTTTGTTTCTGGTTTCTTGCTGGACCGCAGACAACCAAACAAAAGAAAAAGACTGGTGTAATGCTGCCACGTGTTGTCTTAACACCACTGAAAGTAAATGGGGCACACATGGAGTCTGCCTCCGGTGAGCATTACTTTTGTTGCAGTGGTTTTCTATTGACTGTATAGCTAGCTTCTAATCAGTTGTCCCTAGTTATCTGTAAGTTTGCCTGAGGATTTCTTTAACGCTTGGTGAGAATGCATGTGACTGTAGAGAGTTGTGTATATGTTTAACTCCATCAAAATAGTTGGTAACTGGGCAACATCCTGTAATAGTGGATCTGTTATTAGCAGATAATTCTTGTATGTTAAACCACTCTCCAAGTTGGGCTTCTGCTGTTCTTTGCGTATTTTTATGAAATTGTTCTGCTTTTAGGCTTCACAGGAAGGCATGCTGATGGGGAGAGCAGTAGCACATCCAGCAGCAGCAGCAGCTCTTTGGCCCTGTGCAAAGCCACCTTGCGTAGTAGAACGGAAATAAACAGGGATCCTCCGCAGCTTCTGAGAGGTATCCGAAAGCCCACAGCTGGTAGGTGCTTCTGATGAAAGTTAGAAGAATAATTGGCCATAAAAGCAGGCAAGGTTGAAGCCCATGTATATCTGAGAAAACACCAAGGTTCTCTTCCTTCAGAAGGCTTATGACGATCTTGGGGCTGGCAAGCCGGAGCTTCCTCCCCGAACATTAGTGAGACAGTTGTTTGGAAGTTTGCTACGCTGAAGAGCAGCACCGAATTGTACCTGAATGTGACAGAAATGCGATCTCATGTCAAAATTCCAGATGCACGTCTATTAATTAGTGTGTTTGAGAGTCTTTCGTCACTTGAATACTTCACTCGAATATATCTTGCTCCTTTTGCTGTAGTAGTTTGACATGAATTTCTTGCCCATAATGCTGAAATACTTTTATATAACAATGTTTATTTTATTTGCCTGTCCTTTAACTACAGGGCAAATGAAACGAAACAGGGGTGAGGATATTGACTTTGAAACACCTGGTTCCATTCTTGTCAATACAAACCTGCGAGCTCTGATAAACTCCAGAACCTTTAATGCACTCCCATCGCACTTTCAGCAGCAGCTTCTCTACCTCCTTCCAGAAGTTGATAGACAGGTATGAGGATGCAGCACTTGGGTGTTTTCTGTTCACTGCATTGCCTCTTGCTTGCGGGATGGCCGGAGCAAATGTTTTCTGTTTGTCCTGGGTTTGTCCCATAGGTTGGGGCTGATGGGCTGATGCGTCTCAGTGGTAGTGCTCTGAATAATGAATTCTTCACCCATGCTGCGCAGAGCTGGAGAGAACGACTAGCTGATGGTGAGTAGGTTTGCTTTCCGAGGTGGCTGGAGAATAGGTACTCATTTTATGGGATTTTTTTGTTTTTCTTTTACAGTTAATGAATGGGAATTTAGTCCAGCTTTGTAGTGTATCTGGCTATGTTGCCCCCAACTTTTCTTTATTTTTTTCTTTTTTGTCTTTAAAATCAAAGATGTGTTTTCCAGAAGGTGCCATGGGACCTTCTGAATGAAGTGGTGGAGGTGGAGGTGTAAAGTAGTGTCAGACTTATCTTTCCTTAAATGGTGGCCTGTGTCTGGTTAAAAACATGATTTTTTTTCTTTTCAGACTTGCTTGAGGCTGTGTGACCATTGCCCTTAAGGAGTTGCAGGCAGCACCATAGTAAAGTGGAGAGCAGGGCGATAACAGAAAATCTGTCCTTCGTACATATAGCTACTGTACTATACTGTTAAAACACAAAAGGTTGCATTTGCAGAATCAGTTATGTTTGGAACTGAATTTCAGTCTCTTGCTTCCGTGTAGGTGAATTCACCCATGAGATGCAAGTTCGAATTCGGCAGGAGATGGAAAAGGAAAAGAGAGTGGAGCAATGGAAAGAGAAGTTCTTTGAGGACTACTATGGACAAAAGTGAGAAATTTTACCTCATCTATCCTGTTTTGTCTGTGTTTGTGCAGGTGGCAGAGTATCTACTTGTGGATAGCTGAGAAGATGCAGCATAAACTCCTTGAAAAAATACAGGTTGTGGGGTGAATCATTCAGACAGTTGCTCCAGGGAAATCCTTCGTGGAATTGGCTGGGTCACAGCAGAATTTTGTAGCCCGTCTATTTTGTTTCCAAGACAAGTTAATATTACTCGTTTTCCATCACAAATCTTTACATTTTCTTATTTTTCTCATTCCCTGTTATAGTAATGTGGGATAGCAAATGTATAGGTTATTTCATTGCAGACTGACTTGATGAGGTCTTGATGAGTCTCTGCTCTGTAATCTGTATGTTACTATGTATAGTGGTGACAGTACAGCTATAAGTAAAAGATGAAATGCTTAAATTAGCTAGTTTTTATGTTTGCCTCATAGGTTGGGCTTGACCCAAGAAGAATCCCAGGAACAGAATTCGGTGCAAGAAGATGCTGAGAACAGGACAGGACTGTCTGTTAAAGGAGAAGCACGACTGCCGCGCAGTCCTTCCACACGGCAGAGAGATGGACACTTCAAGAAACGCTCCCGGGCCGACCTGTGGTGCAGAGCCAGGAGGAGCCTGTACAAATTGCGTGAACCTGAGCAAACAGAGACTTCCAAAGAGATTGCTTCTGTGGGACCAGATTCCTCTCTTCATAAAGAGACAAAGCCTGAGATAGACCTGAAGAAAGATGATCTGACGAGTTCTTCGGCTGCAGTACTGAAGCCAGAGAGTTCAGAGTTGCACCTCTCTCCAGAGACTTCCAAATTACACAGTAAATCGGAAGATCTGTCATTGGCAGCTGCAAACAGAATTCCCAGTTTGCCCCAGGAGAACTCTGCTCGGGAGTCAAAGGACCAGAAGAGGAAAAGCTTTGAGGAGGCTGCCTCTGCGTCCTTCCCCGAAAAGAAGCCCCGGCTTGAAGATCGTCAGTCCTTTCGTAACACAATTGAAAGTGTTCACCCAGAAAAGCCACAGCCTACTAAAGAGGAGCCAAAAGTCCCACCCATCCGGGTAGGAAAGAGAATTAGAGCTGCTGGGTGTCTCAGGGCTGTGATGCTCAGTGGCATCATAACATTATTAAAATGTCAAGTGTTGTCATCTTAAGAGAAGAAGTGGAAGGGTTTCATTGGTAGAGCTGGCTAAGTACCTCTGATTACCACAGTTTACTATCTTATTTAGACAGGCAAAGAATGGAAAATCATTCCAAGGTCTTTGCACAAGAGCACAGGGTAACCTTGACTTGCTCTGTTAGTTTGCATTTCTGTGGATACAGAAATCACTTTTCCTGAAACTAGCTGACTTGTTGCAAAAGAGACCTTCAAATCATAGTCTTTATCCTGTGTAGTTTCTCAGTTCCTTTCCTTTTGGGCAGAATCTTAGTATTCCTTCTGACTTTTCCCATTTTGACTAGAGGTATCCATCTTGTTAGCTTCAGGGTAGTCATCCTGATGTAAAGGAGACCATTTTGATTTCTGAAGATCTGAGTGCAAATCACTCATTTCGTATTTGTCTGCTGGCTCTGGTAAAACAATGTTAATATTAAGCGAGCTTTACATATCGCATGACGGAGCGCATAAGCAGAGGTTAAGGGGAGCATGCTACTTCTCTGCCAAAATTAGTTTTTAAGTTGGAATTTTAAATTTTTGTTGAATTCTTGTGGTAAGAATTGTGATGAACAGATGCTAACAAAATGCATTTCGCTGTCTGAAGATGGTCGAGTGTTAGAACTAATTGCTTTTCCCTTTCTTTCAGATTCAACTTTCACGTATTAAACCACCCTGGGTGGTTAAAGGTCAGCCCGCTTACCAGATATGCCCCAGGATCATCCCCAACACGGAGCCCTCCAGCCGGGGCAGGACTGGGGCCAGAACACTCGCAGACATTAAAGCCCGTGCTTTGCAAGCCCGAGCCCAGCGAGAAGCTGCTGCAGCCGCCATTGGAGGTGGGGGTGGCCCAGGTGGAGGGAGAAGCACTGATGAAGGAGGTGGTGGAGGAGAATCCAGCAGCCGTACAGAGCACAGGAGATCAAAGAGAACTCATGGAAAGCGTTCGTCAGATCTACAACGAACACAATTACTGTCGTCTCTCCATCTGAATGGAGAAAAGGTCAACTCTGAGGTGGCTGCTCAGGAGGCTAACAGGAATTCCTTCGTCTCTTCAAGACAAGACCCCTTTTCTTCAAAGAGTGAGGGAAGTGGCGTTCTGGAATGCGCTGCAGGCACTAGCTCAGGGGAAGCTCAAGCCGGTGATGGCTCACCTAGAAGGCAGTTCTGTGATGCTTTAACTGGGTCATCCTTAGACAATGCAACTTCTGAGAGGCAGGAGGAAAGCCCTGGGCAGCCCCTCTGTGACCCAAGGACCGAAACCCCATCTTGTGTTGCATCACAGGAGAGGCAAAGTACAAAGCTGAAATGCGTGGTTCCTCCAGTAAACGGTCTGTCGTGTTCTCAGGTGCAGGGAGCTGTGATCAGTCCTACGGGAGAGAGGGTTGTGTCAGAACTCAAAGATGTTAGTGCTCCTGCCGTACAGCTGGATTATCATTCTGATGTAAAGGAAAATTCCTCCAGTTGTCCTACTCTTCTGCCAGAATTGTCATCAGGTGGTAAAGAATGCCATGAGCCAGAAATGGTACCTAGATTTAGATTTAATGGCTCTGAAACATTTGTGGAAAAATGTGTCGCTGATAGTGATAACTCGAAAACAGTGACTGCTGGAGTGGAGAAAGCAGTCCCTGCACTGTATAGCTTCTCACACCTGCAGGCAGAGAAAGAGAGAGATGGCAAACTAAGTAATGAAGAACAGAATACAGAGTCTCTGGTGAAACCCTCTTTACACGATGACTTTATTTGTCAAAATAGGATAGATACCTCTGAAAAACTTCTGCAGCAAAGGGAGAGGTGCCCCAGAACAGAACCAGAAAATGCACGTCAGCCACCGAGAGAGACTCAAGAGTTCAAGACAAACGGAGATGATGAAATACAGAGTACACACAGTGAAACAACAGATACTGCTTCAGATTTTGAAGGTGACGTAGCTGATGAGAATGTCGAGATGGATATATGTTTCAGAAGTGTCAGCTGTAGGGAGGTGGCTGGAAAAGACTCCTCCTGTCACAGCAGCACTGAGAGATGTGGTAGGATTAGGTCAAAATCATCTGTGGAAACAGATAGTCTGGCCTATGTGGACTTCCCCGCAGTCGCAGTGATGAGCGCTGCACCTCCATCTCAGAGATGGGGACCACGTGCACCATTGCCCCAGAAAGCCGAGCGGCCGACAGGTTCTGCTCGGCCCGTATCCTCTATTGAAACCAACAACCCTTTGGTGATGCAGCTGCTTAAGGGGAACCTTCCACTGGAAGAAGTTCTCCCAGTATCTCACGCCAACATCAAGCTGGAAATTACACAGCCACCGCTGGACAAGCAGTCAGAAAGCCTCTCCCTGCAAATGGAGAGCAGTTGCTATTTTGGCAAAGAATCTTCTCCAGATGTAGGAATAAAGACGATTGCCCTAAGCAGGAGTGAAGACCTCCACTCAATGAGATCTTCCATAGATCCCCAGGAGAAGAAGTGCGGATCAGGGGCAGCATTGCCTAGAGCAGAGGATGCGGAGGATCAGTCAGTTCCAGAAAAACATTCCAAAGTTGGCTCGACTTTAAGCTGCCAAGACCAACTGGCAAATGTGGTAAGTGCCTCTCAGAAGCCTGGAGATATGGGCCCTCGGGAAAGAACATTTTCTTCCTGTAGCTTTGAGGAGCAAAAGGAGTTGCCCAAGGTCCATCGGGTGCCACAGCACAACCCATTAACAAGTGTTGTCACAAATAAAAGTCCGGAGAAGCTGAACACCTCTACGGAGCCTCAGTTTTTATCTCCAACTGTAACTCCCCTTGGTCCAAATCAGACAGGGGGTACATCGGGGAATAAAAATTATGTTGGAGTTCAAGGCAAAAAACTCTTTGGTTCAGGTTTTCGTTGCAACCCCAGTGTTAGACTACATCACTCCAGGGTTTTGGATCAAGTTTCAGCCATGGGAACCTTGTCCCCCAGCAAACAGATTCCTCTGAACAAGAGCTGTGCGTCAGGAGAAGGAATGCCAGCTGCAAGGGAAGGATGGACTTCAAAGCAGCACACCAACACCCTGGGAGGAGTCAAAAATGAGAATGTGTTGGCATGTGGCAGCCCCGCCAAGAGTAACGCGGAGAACCGGAAAGAAGCAGCACAAAACCCCGTGGAGCTGACTGAGCATTTGCAAAGTGTTCCGCTGGTTATGGACTTGCCATTTTTTAAGTTTTCGAGGGAACCAGGAAAAGGACACAATCACCCTTTGGAGCCTTCTTCCATACCCTCTCAGCTCAATATCAAGCAAGCATTTTATGGGAAGCTTTCTAAGCTGCAGCTTAATTCCACCAGCTTTAATTATTCATCCAACACTCCAGCTTTTCCCAGAAGTCTTGCTGGAAGCATGATGCAGCTCACCCACAAAGCGAACTTTGCTGCAAACCATAACACGTCTCTTTCTGTGCAGATGTTTGCTGATAGCAGCAGTGTTGACGAGATATCGTTCAAGTGCTCGTGCAGCCTTAAAGCCATGATCATGTGTAAAGGCTGCGGGGCGTTTTGTCATGACGACTGTATAGGACCCTCTAAGCTTTGTGTATTGTGCCTTGTGGTGAGATAATAAATTATGGCCATGGGACAAATTGTATATTCATTGTGTGTATTTTGATAACGACTGATCCTAAAACCTGTACACAAAATACTATTCTGTTTATAGTAGAAATGCTATTACACTTCGTTTTGGTGAGGAAAGTTGACTTGCCTTCCCACGAAAATCTACGGTGCAAAACCCTTTCTTGCTCACGGTTACACTCCACTATCTGGGCTGCGCCCCACTGGAGCGATCCTTCTGCTTAGTGCTGTCGTGGAAATGCTGGCCGTGCTCTGGTACACGTGCTGAGGCTAACACCTGAGTGAGGCAGCTTGCTGCGGCAATCCGTGGACCCTCTGTCGAGGAAGTCTTTACATCCAAAGGAACTGGAACAGGGTGTTTTCTATTTCAGGGCTGCGCTAGGTGAGGCCCTACAGTCTTCCACTCTCCCCTTCTGCCATCTCCATTCTTGGTTTGTGTGGGAAGTACCGCTGTACAGTAAGCGTAAGCAAAGAGCTGCTCTGCAGGTGACGGTTCTGCACGGGCTTTGGACGCTGCAGCAGAACGTGGTGCCCAGTAAAGCACTCCGCCGGTGGCTGTAGAGCCGTATACAGCTAACCGTATACTGGATGGAGCCAACTCGGAGGATGCAAGAAGAAGAAAAAAAACAAAGTGGCAGGCGCCAACCGACTGCCTTCTGCTGGTCTGCAGGAAGACGTGTGGCCCGGGGAACTGTGTGCCTGGCTGAACTCTTGGACCAGCTGATGTGACTGCCTCTTCTGGCTGACTTGCCACAAACTAGTGTGAAATGTCAGAGGTTCCTAGAAGCTCGTTTGTGTGGCCAGCGATCTCTGCATTGCAGCCCTGCAATGAGGACCTTAATACGACAGCATCTGACCACTTGCAAGCGTCTAGCTGTGCATCTGTGTGACGATCATCTAACATTAAAAGCAGTGTTTTTTCCTTTTTTTTATATTTTCATTCTTGGATGTATAAAGTGAATTATTTGGCTCCTGTAAGTATCCTCTATGCATCTGTTTGATCATGTATTTATATGTTGTACACAGTACTGGCCAACTCTGTAAATGGATGTAATGTACATAGAACATAAAGGGTTCTTTTTTTTTTCCTTGGATTTTCAGGCTCTACAGCAGTATTGCATTAAAGTGGTGTTAGTTATTAATCTGCATCTGTAGTCAGAGCCACTGTATTCTGTCTTGCCTAACGTGAGGCTCAACATGCAAAGGTGTCTCTTGGTTCCGACAGCCTCCCTCCCTGCCCGGCTGTCCGTGCTGCCTTGTGCAGGTGGACTGTGATGTGCAGACTCAAGGATGACCCGATGGGATTTGCCAAGTCGAGTGTACTTCACCGGTCGCTTCTCTGAGCTATTGCCAGTTGTTGCTGTAGCTGATCTCCTAGAGCATGGCTGTAGCTGCGTTGCAAGAAGGTGAATATCCTTGTGCATCCTTAGATTGAGAGCAAAAACGTGACTCTCTCCCTCTTTGGAGCAATTACTAATCAAGAGTGAATTGCTTCAGCGGGGGGAGAAGTCAGCTGTTTTATTTAAGCAGAGAGTAGCAAGAATTGTAGGGCGTTTATTTTTATTTTTTCTTCTTGTCCCTCTTCTAGCTCTATCCTACCTCCCTTGACCATGCACTTTTTTTTTAACCGTACAAGTCCCTGTTTGAGATGCAAGCCTGAGGGATGCAACAAGTTTAGTCTCTGAAATGGTTTATCCTTAATGCATCTGACAGCCTCATGTTGTGGGAACGGGAGAGAGGGACCAACACGTGTGCGCCCGTGCCCGGGATGGACGGAACCGCGGTGTTGGTGAAGGCGGAGCAGAGGTGTGAAACCTGCTTACCAAAGATCGGGAGCGGAGCTGGGGGTCTGGCTCTGCCTCCTTTGGGGCCACTGTAGTGTACAGATTGAACTGGTCTGGTTTGCAGAGCCCTCCGGGGGCCTGCTCATGTATGTCCCTTGTGGTATTGGAAAAATAAACACTCTGTAAAACCTGCATTTGTGGTTTCAATCCTCTTCTTCTGAAATCATCCTCTCTGCTCTCTAAGGCAATATTGCTTTTCCTTTCCTCTTTTTTAACTGGGAGTGTTGCAGAGCTCTGCTCAGATGATGCGGAAGGGGGGCTGCATTGCTGTCTCGGCTTCATTAAATCGTTTTTTATGCACTTACAGATAACCGAAGACAGCATACCTACTGCAGACGTGGCGCGTGGCTCTTGGGAAATAGATACCCTGAGGGCTCCAAAAGCAGCAGCGCGGCTGTGGGACGCTGCAGGAGCGAAGGCTGCGGCTGCACCAGCCCCCGCGCAGTAACGGGGGGAGAAACCTGCCCTGCCGGGGTGAGGGGCAGCAGCACCGAGACTGGGCCCAGTGTCACAGGCAGATCTGGTTGCTGCTGTTATGCGGCTTTTATGTTACCGTCTTACTCGATTGTTGGATAAATGGATCTGGAAGTGTCTTCTAAAGAGCGTAACAACGTGATACCAGTTACACTGTTTATTGAAACTACCTGTAAACTTAGTTTATTGATAAGTCCTTTCTCTCTTTTCTAGGTAGCAAGAAAAGAACAACACGAATTACTACGTTACGTGTCTCAGTTCTGGTCTCATTGTGTGGATCTTTTGCAAGGCAGATGGTGATCTCATAAATTGGGCAGTGGGGCTGTGGGAGTGTTTAGATCCATTCGGTGATAAAATACCTACTTCCTTACATTCTGTAGTGCTGCACTGTTGCGACGGTGCCCCGTTCTCCCAGTTCCTCCATGTCGCTAATGCCGGGGGGCTGGTGGGCACGAGCGCAGCGGCACTGAAGCCTAGTGGCTTCGGTCTGCTTGCTTTAAAAATCTTGGTGAGAAGGAAAAGGGGGCAAAGCTGAGCATCGCTGCGTTCGAGTGCGAAGGAGGCTCTGGCCCAAGCATGGGAGAAGATTTGTGGTTTAAACCACATCGCTCCCGTCAGCAGTCAAGATTTACCTGCACGTGAGCGCCGGTCCCGGCTGCAGCCCTTCAGCGGTGGGAACCGACCCACCAGAAACCCGCCGGCCGCGGCTGTGGCACGAGCCACGGGTCTGCGCCAGCACAGGAGCCCCGGCCAGGGCAGTGGCTGGTCCTGCAGCAGCTTTTTTGGGAGAAAAAAGGCTTTTGTGGTTTTTGGTAGTTCATTGATGTTCTCCTGACTCTGGCAGACTTTGTCTGCAAACACAGGTGTGGTTAAAGATATCCAGATAATCTAAATATGCTAAAAATAATTAATGCAGAAAATAAGTAGCGTTGTTACTTAGGTAAGCTTTAAAAGCGCTAAATAACTGACATCAAGTTTTCTATTTTATTCGTGTGGTGGATGATGATGTCAGGATTAGTTACCTCTAGAATAGGGGAGCTTGGAGATTTCAAGAGTAAAACCCTATTAATGTCAGAATTTCACACAGAGCAAATATAAATTACATTTTTTCTCTCCGTGATATTTCTCTGATAAATAATAGATTTTCTCTCTCACAGACTGTCTGCTGTTTGGCCCGGCTCTGCGGTGCTCTGGAGCGTCCTGGCGCCGCGGTGGCCGAGACACCTGCGACCGTGGGGCTGCGGAAGCAACGGCAGCGATTTCCAAAGGTACCGAGAACGGGTTTGCACAGCGGTGTGACCGAGCACCGCTCCCCTCCACGGCTTGCAGCCGCCTCCCTTGCTCCGTTTGAAATTTGGGAGCAAAGCTTATCCGGAGGCTTAATGCTACTAACCCTGACCGTGTCACGGCACACGGGAGATGCTTTACCTGAGTCTACTACAGAAACCTGACGTTAGCTCTGTGTGCGCAGAGCGGTCTGTGGAACACACACGTTCGCTAATTATTTTGGCGGGTCCGTTTGGGACGTGCTGTCCCGGGTGAGTATTTAGAAGCGCAAACGTTCAGGTGGGTCCTTTTGGCCGTCGCTCACGGCTGCCGCAGCAAACCTGGGGACGGTCCTGCCCGCGCTGCACCGCAGGCACCCGTATGCGAATCGAAACGCAGCGTTTCCACCAAAGCTGTAAACCGATTTGATTCATCTCTCCTGGGTCCTCCTGTCAGCCAGCCACTGATGCCAATCAGGAGATTTTTATCTACACAGTGCTTTGAGATAAACATTTTATGGATGCAAAGGTTTATTATACTTAGTGAATAAAGCTGATAATGAAAAATCAGTATTTTCCATGAGGGAGAGGGAGAACTTTCCACAAACTTCAATGAAAACTCCGTTGTTGGTTTTGTTTTGTTTTGTTTTGTTTTTTTTTCACAAAAAACAGACACTTCACAAAATTAATTTTGTCAAAATATAAGTTAAGCATAAAATTTGTGACTAGCCCCACTTGTGAGTGCTAACGCTGCTCTCTATGGTACCCGCGGCTGTCTGTTAAGGAATGGAAAGCACAGCTTCTGTCAAAATTATTGAAAGTTGTTGTTTTTTTTTTTTTTTTTTTAAAACCACCTAAATTTAGATCCCGCTTTGGTGACCAATCGCACCGACCTCTCGCACAGCGCGTAGGCTGGGGCTGGGGAGCAAACACGGGCTGGCGACGGGGCGAGGGGCAGCGGCTGGAGAGCGCCTGGTGCCAGCAGCACCCAGCGGTGCTCGACAGTGGAGGAGAAAGCCCTTTTAGTTATACAGTGTTTATTAAGTAGATTCAGTCTTATATATGATATACAGATTCAAAAGAAAAAAAAAGGATTCCACATACTTATGAAATCAGTGCATTTAGCAAGTAATACCATGGAGATAACAGCTTGATTAACAGCTCATTGGTCTTTGTTAAGTGAGGGGAACAGGGAGTTGGCCTGTGCTAATCATTCCACAAACAGAACAGAATTAAGTTGCATCACATATATAATAGACACACATTCTAAGAATTAAAATATTAAGCCACATTTACTGGAAAAATCCACAGTATATAACACAAATAACTCTTATCAAGCTCGTTGAGGAGGAAGTGCTCATCTGCTTAAGAGCCACATTAAGTTGCATAGGTGCCTATCTGCAAAA